CGCGGGCGCACGGCGGCTACGGAGGCGGCCTCAGTCCCGACAGTGAGTGGGGGCGTGCGGAGGGTGGGCCGGGCGCGGGCCCGACTTCCTCCCCGCGCGGGCGCTCGCGGACCGCGGCTCGTCGCCGCCCTGTGGGGAGCGGGTCTGCGTCGTGCGGGTCCCCACGGAGCCCCGGAGCCGGCGGGCGTGGAGCTCCACCGTCCGGGACAGGGGCCCCACGGGCACAGGGCGGTAGGACTCTGCCGGTCCTAGGGTGGTTGCGAGTGCGCGGAGGAGGGCCTGGGGACCGGGGACAATGGCGAGCTGAAGGAAAGAGAAAAGGAGGGTAAAACAGGACAGGGAAAGACCGGGGACCGGGAGGGAGGGTGGGAGAAGAGAGGAATGTGGTGAGAGAAGAGACTTCAGACGGGGAAAGGGAAAGAGAACACAACGAGAGGAAGGGAAACGAAGGAGAGTCAGACACGAAAGATAAAGGGGGACATGGGGCAGAGGGCACCACTGTTGGGGGTGCTGGGTGCGGGAGGGGAGCCCTCTCCCCCCCAGTGGCTGTGTCCCACCCCCGCAAAGTCCCATTTCCTTTGTGCCTGCTGCGGACCAGCCTGGGGCAGGGGCCCGGGCCTCCCCAGGGCTGTGCCAGGCAGGAAGGGAACCTGTTTTGAAGTCCCCAACCTCTTTCTCTTCTTTTTCTGCCCCTCCCCCTCCCCCGCCTTTGTTCCCTGCTGAGGGCTCACAGCCTGGGAGTGGGGGCTTCTCAGGCCCTGAACCTGCTCACCCCTTTTGCCTGGGGATCCTGACCCCTGAGTCCTGCTCCCAGCCCCCAGGGTTGTTGCCTCCTGGCAGACCTGCCCTTTGGGGGGAATCTCCTGGATGACCAGGAAAGCCATTCCCACCCCCCACGCAGCTTTGCCAGCCACCCCCACCCCCACCCCCAACGCACAGACCCTGTGAGGCCAGTTAAGGACTCTCTTCTCCCAGGCTCTGGCGCTGGGATCCATTTGACTCTGTGCATGTCGGTGTGTGCTGGGGGAGGAAGTGGTCTACGACCCTCTCTCACCCACTGGATAATCCCCTCCCTGGTGTGGGAGTGACCCCCTTGGGAAAGGATCCGCATCTCAGAGCTCACATCCAGAAAGTTGTGGCCTCCAGCCCCTTCTCATAAATGTGAGCGGGGCCTCCGTGGCTTCTTTGAAATCGAGTGATTCAATTTAGTTTTCTTCTCGGAGGATTCTGAAAAGGGTCTGGAAGGATGAAATTTGTTCTCCCTTTGTCCCTGGGGTCCACCCTACCTGCAGCCCAGCCAGCAGTCCATGCAGAGGCGGCCTCTTCTTACTTCGTGCGATGCGGGTTAGGGTACCCACCAGAGCTGGCAAACCAGCTTAGTGCCTTGTGGCATTGTATGGGCCTCTGAGTTTGGAGCTGTGGGATGTGGTGGGCAGGCGGGCACACACTCCAGCCTGCTACCTGACTCTGCTGTGGGCACACACCATGGGATTTGCACCTCTCTGCGGACACAGGCACTGAGCTTGAGCCATGCACGCCAGCATCTGCACACTTAGCGCGGGCGTGCAAACGCACTGTGGGCACATCCCTTGCCCAAGTCTGCAGCCCCCCGAGGGCCAGGCCAAACTCCACCTGGACCCCCGACCTGTTAGTCAGGGGCTGCCCTGTGCACGGGAGGCTCCAGGCTGAGGTGAAAGGACAGACTGGTCCGAGTTGGCCTCTGCAATCAGAGGCAGTGGCCCTCTTCAATCTGGACAAGCGCTCCCTTTTTAATCTGGTGTCATCCCTTGCCAGCCCTGTGGGCCTCTTACCTCTGGGAGATGAGGTGGAGCTTGGTACTTGTAGCGTGGACTCAGGGACCCCCTGTGAGCTCTGTACCCCCAGTCCTATGAGCTGAACCACCAGTCTCAAGGGTGTTGGGGGCAGGGTGCAGTTGCTGAGTTCCTCGGAGCAGCTTTCATCGATGTCGCCTTTCAGCGTGACCGTGGCAGGAGTGGGCATCTGGGTCAGGGGTACAGGAGTATGGAGATGGGTGTGCCAGTGTCACCTGCCTGGAGTTTTCCTCTGGGGATTATCTGCATTTGTTTGCCCTCCTTCCACGGAATATTTCTGTGCAAGCGGGCAGAGCCTTTGCATCTGCTCCTGAGAGTGATGGGGGGGCAGGGGTCAACAGGTCTTTAGTCCTACGTCTGGGGGGCTTGGTGTGGGGCTGGGTGCTGGGTGGTAGGGGGTGTCTCTGTGCTTGTTTTCTAGTGTGGACGTTTCTCACACCAACGTCTTTCCTCTTGTCTCATCGTTCCTTTTGTGTGGATGTGGGGGGTGCAGCTGGGAGTGCGGGTGGTTGCAGGAGCAGTCTGCATTTTGTGTCTTTGTTTTTGTGTTTCTTCGCTCTCCTCTTTTCTTTGTTGCTCTCTGGATGTGGGTGTGATTTCTGTGTGGGAGTGTGTTGCCGGTGTGTTGGTTTGGAGCAGCTCTTCTGGTCCTTGGTCGCCTTTTTATGACTCTGCCTCTCCGTTCCCGGAAAGGTGCTGGATGCAGAGCCCTGTGCAGCGGAATGTTCCCGTTTGTGGCTGGGTGATCTGGGGTGGGGGGTGGGGGTGTGCTAGCCTCAATGATCGGGTCTGAGGATCAGCCCCCTGGAACCAACCGCTGTGCCCTCTCTCCCCTGCAGCAAGCGACCGGGACTCACCGGAGACGGGTGAAGAGATGGGCCGCGCCGAGGGCGCCTGGCCGCGGGGCCCCAGGCCGGGAGCAGTGCAGCGGGAGGTGGCGGAGTTGGCGGCGCGGGGCCCGGTGGCCGGCCCGGAGGAGGCAGCGGAGCTGGCCGAGGCCCCCGCAGCAGCGGCCGGGGAGGTGCGCGGTGGCGTTGGCGTTGGTGGCAGTCGCAAGAAGAAGACGCGCACGGTCTTCTCCCGCAGCCAGGTCTTCCAGCTTGAGTCCACATTCGACCTGAAGCGCTACCTGAGCAGCGCTGAGCGCGCTGGCCTCGCCGCCTCCCTGCAGCTCACCGAGACCCAGGTCAAGATCTGGTTCCAGA